TAATACAATTCTACTTTAAAGCAAATTAGTGAAGTTCTTTAGACTTTAATTTCACAAAAATACTAACAGAAATGCACACCAAGGGGCAATATGATCTCAAAGTCAGGAAAAAAAAAATCTTTGACTCATTTCCTTTCTAATCTTTTTTTTCTGTCCTTTTTTTCTTTTTTTTCCCCTTTCTTCCTTTTTTTTTTCTTTTCTTTCTTTCCTTTTTTGTTTTTTTGAGACAAGGTCTCATCTCACTATGCAGTTCAGGTTACCTTAAACTCGCTTATGTGACCCAGGCTGGCCTCCAGCCCCCAGGGATCCACCTGCCTCAGCCTCCTGAGTACCTGCATTACAGGCTTGTGCCACTACATCCAGCTTCCCCTTTCTTTTAGGACTCTACTTCAGGACTCTACTTCACTCTGCACACACATATTCTCAACCAAAGTGTTCTCATCAAGCTGCTTCCCTAAATCCCAAGATTCTTAGTTCTTACTAATACTCATAAAATTCGATTTCCTCAGTGTCCTGTTATATTTAGAAAAGTGTTCATAGATGTTAAACACCAGTAATCATTTTCAGCCCCTCAGACAATATAGCACTTCTATTCCAAAATAAATTATAGAAAATTGGAGGAGTTGTGTGTGTGTGTGTGTGTGTGTGTGTGTGTGTACATACTTATGAATTTCAAAAACATTGTAGATATTATGCTGCCTTTAGGAGTTAAAACTTATTTGAAAAGTTTTATTTTGCTGGACACAGGATGAAAGGGAAAATTTGACATAACTATATGTACAATTACATGGAGAAAATAATTTATTTAAATTATTCTGGGAATAATGGCCTGCCTAAGGAGCATTTTTAGCTCCATAGTTCTTAGTTCTATAGTTTCTGGAGTCAGGATGAAGATGGCTCTAGGTCACATATTTGGGGTGGTCTCCACTTCGGGACCAAATGGGACAGGTACACAAGCAGTGATGATTCCTGGGAGGACATAGCTCAACACACAGGCCTGAGCCGAGGAGGAGAATGGAGAAGAAGCAGTGGTATTGGCATCATGAAGAATGTATCCCTTTGCACAGGAACAGCACCTAATTCAGAAGAGACCTGATGGTTTTAAAAGGAAGTTCCTAGCATTGGAAAACTAGGTTACTAGCTTTAAAAAAAAAAGAAAAAGAAAAAGAAAAATATAACTGATTGCCATAGCAGGAAAAAAACAAGAATGACTGAAAGTGAAATCGCTTTCCAGATATCATGGGTAAAGGCGGAAAGCATGAGGCTAAAAGAAATCACATCTAGGAAAATTCCCTTTGCCTGGGTAGAACGAAAGTGCAAAATTTCAGACAATTCTAAAGTTTTCTAATTTTACTTGACTTGTTAAAATTCAGTCAATCAGTGGAGAAAAACAGGCTCATCTTAAGAAAACAACTGGATTCTGAAAGAAACACTTAGGAATGCTAACTACATTAAAATGAAGTAGAAATATGTGGCTTAAATTTACTTGGATACTTAAGAGCTACTGACTAGTTTGAGTTGTTGCAGAGGCCATAAATTCCTAAATATTGTGGAGGAGTTACTGCATGATCTGTCTATTCATCAAAGGGAAGAGGAAGCCTTTGTAATTAAGGAGCTGTCACCTGAACTTTAATGCCCAGATAGGTGATACAAATCATCAAACAATCAATTTGCAATCACAGAGAAAGAGGAACAGAGACTGACATGCCTTTCAGAGAACAATCTTGTTTCATGATGAAGAGACAGGAGGGTTAGAGAAGAGGGACCTTGTACAGACAACATGGATTTCAGTAACTCATTCTCAGCTTAAATCAAAAACAACTGAACTGTTGACCTCAGAGTCACAGGACAGTACGTGGTATGAGCGTAGTCTATCAAAGCGTTGAATTAAAGCAATGACTTAGATGTTGTTTCAGAAATTAAGCTCTTCCCGCACACTAGAGGTATTTGAGACATTTTTATTCGTAAGTATAAATGGATTCTATCTTCTAATGAGCATATAAGTGATTTCACTCAATTTTATAGGATTTTAATGATACTAAAACAGTCTTCCTGAATGTCCTACTCTTTGAGGCAGCACATCTGTGCACATAAATAACCTTATCAATCACTTCCTAAAAATGTCTGCAGGAAATTTTGCCAAAATAATCACTGCATTCTTATAATAATATGCATACCCTTGGTATCCATTTTCTCAGAATTCAATGGCATTGTCATCTTAACTAAGTACAAGTCTCTCACCTGAGTAGCTCACATGGCGATCACTTGTAGCTCTGCATGACTCATCACTGTGACACTCTAATTTTTCCAGAGGAGAAACTCACGATTTAATAACTTAATGTAATAATAAAAAGCATCTGGTCTCAACTTTATATAGAAATGATTTTAGGTAAAGTCAATCGTTCAATACTGAGGCATATTCATTGAGGGTTTAGCAATGAATGTCACAAAACAACTCAAAAATCTGATTAGAAATTAAAGCCATAAGCAACATTTTTTTATAAAAGAGTCATTACTTTACATAAAGAGAATTATTTAAAAAGAAAACAATGATGGCTTGCATAACGGTCCCCATAATTCTTGAATTGTAGTAGTGTCTGCTTTCATTAAAAATAAGTGTGTTTTCAGTAAAAATAAGTATGTACAAATTTATAAAAAGCACTCCTTCCAGTTCTTTTTCCTAAAGTTAGGAATATTAATAATTTCTCTGTAACCTTCCAGGAATATTCTGGAAAAAACTTTAATACCTATTTTACTTATTCAAATTTGTAGGTGAGGTATACACTATTCTGGTTCTAGCTATTTTTATTCAACAATTACTTGAAATCTTTCCACAGTAGTGGATACAAATATGATTTTTACTGGCACATAATATTGCCTGCTGAATATAGCATAATCAGTCAATCATATTCCATAAATATTTAGATTATAACATAGACTTTGTACTGGAAACACAGATCACATTCTAAGGTCACATCAAGAATTGACTGAGTCAAAATTGAATTAAAATTTAAATTAAATTTTTAAAGAGTCAGTGTACACATGGGATTTATTTTTAGCATCAGATAGAAAAGAGATTAGGCCCAGTTGACTTCACATTAATACGGAAGGTCTGGGACAATGAAATAAAATAGTGATGTGAACACTTAGCTCACTGCTGCATAATAATTAGGGCTAACCCATGTTCATTAGGGTGCAGTCTAAGAGTGGCAGGGAGGTAAAGAGTGTGAACCTATTATCTGTTGGCCCTGAAAACCAGGGATCAGGAATAGGCTGGGGATCCACAAGATAGAAATGAAGAGAAAATACAATGAAGGAAGGCCAAACTGTCCAATAATGTTATGAGATTAGAAGTATTTAAACACAAATAAAGGCAGAGTGGGACTTCCCGGAGGCCTGGAATCTCTGTGCCTTTGGAAGTGAATAATCTGTAAGAGGCCTAGTTGTATGAATCATTCAGTTTCCTTCTCAGAAATGGAGATACTTTTCATGCTAAAGATGTGCTTTCTTTATTCATAAGCCATGAATGAGTTCTTAAAATATATATGTACTGCGCAGAAGAAAGTATACTCTTTGAGTTTAAAGTACTATTTCTTTAAAAATTTTCTCAAATTATTTTCCCAAGAGTATTTTCGATTACACAATCAGACCAAAGAGTAAAGCAAAGAATGGGACAAATAAAAACTAAGACTTTTACAACTACAGATTTAGAAGATGCAACATAATGCAATGCATTAAATATGCTTCTATAGTACACTAAATTTTCCATTAATCACCATGGGTTTCTCATTAATCCTTGTAGAAAAATCACAAAATTTAATTTGTTTAAACAAAATGCAAAGAAAAATTTTAAGCCAAGATAATAACTAGTAGATCTTAGGAAATCCACACTGCTACTTTAAGACATCTAAGTGCCACATAACCTATGACTGCTTTCAGTTAAAACAAGGGACACATTCATAAAATTCTTAAATTCCATAGTCTAAGCAATATAATGAGAAAAGAGTAGTGGCCATTTGGCCAAATGTTTTCTTTAAATTTAATTATAGCCCTTGTCTTCAATAATCTTTTTATGTGAGCTTTGATAATAACCTATTCTGTTTGATAAACTAACAAAAACTTAGTAGCATGGTTATCTATCTGTGCTGTCATTGTTTGATTGCCCAACTTTATGCTCTGATTTTATAACTTGATCAACTACTTCTAAGACAACAATATGTAATTTATCAACTAGTGATTTCTTCCTGTGCTTTTTTGAAATTCTGTATTATTTATACCTTTTTATTGGTTTTTCTTTTTATCTCTAAATAAAAATAATCTATAAGGAATTATTGTATATTAACTAAAATAATTTTAATATTTTAAGGCTATGATTTAATTATAATGAATATGATCACACAGAAATATTGAAACATTTTATCAAAAAATTTATATGAAAAGTATTATAGTATATATTTTTCATAGTAAATTAAATTTTCTAAGTAACATTTTGAGGAAATTCATCATTCTTGATAACTAACCCATCTGACTTTATAGGGAACAGTGCTTATTACAAAAAAAAAATGCTTTCTTTTACCTTTTAGCACACTGTTCAAAATATGCTGTATTGCTTAAAAGATTCAGATCCTAGGTATATTTTGCAGTGAGTTCAAATTCAAAAATTTAAGTAGAAAGTGTCCTTTATACTTTAAAATTTAAAATTCAAGCAGAAAGCCTCACTATCCCACATCCTATAATAATCACCAGTAATGGTACATCAAGGAATGAATAGCTAGTCACTTTTATTGACTACAGAGGGTGAATTTATGACTTTTTCAAGCTTAAGAGATTACTTGAGAACACAATCAGTTTTAAGAAGAGAAAGAGAGAAAGGCAAAGACAAGAGGAGAAGGGAGGGGAAGGAGGGAAGGCAGGGGAAGTAATCAATTCAAGAGTCAGGAGAAGAAAGGAAGAATGGAAATAGGTGATTGGCTGTTCACAGATTAGGACTGACAGAATACCTTTGTACCAGGTCCTCCCCATTCCAGCAGGGCAGCCTGGAGGCAGCAGCCAGTTCATTAACGCAAAGCTGATCAGCTAGGCCGCCATAGAAGGACCTGTACAGTCGGAGGCTGTTGATAAAATCTCTGCATAAAAGAACAAAGACACCAGTTAATACCAGAAATCCATAATAAGGATGGCACAAGCTATGCATAATGCTTAAAATGAAACACTTATGCTTTCTATACTTCTTTTCTTGTATTTTAGAAAATTTTTCTAACACTAACAATACACTATCATTTTAAAAATACTAATATTCAAACGTTTTACCTTCAATAAAAGTTTCTGCTGAGTATGAACCTAAGGCATCCCAAGTGCAAGAGGCTGTGAACAGTATACACCAGCACTCCCCAAAACATCAGTTTGTTTAGCCTCACTCACCTCCTCACTGGTTGCTAGCATATAAATCTCACTAATACTAATTATCGTCTTTTCCACATAGAAAATGTCAGAGGTTTACAACATGTTAATTATATGACTACTCTTTAGTAGACATGGGTTATTTTCCTATCAGTTCTCTTTGGTATCTAAAAACATAAATATTATTGCTTTACTAACCATGACTCGAAGCCTCAGATATATATTGATATTTCTGAGGCTGCAAATAAAAGTTATCGAAGGAAAGAATATTTACAATATCAACTCAGGCAATCCTCTTCCCTTACTATTTCTCTCCTTCTATTAATTATGGGAGAAAAAACTCAATCAAAATTGTAGAGGGCCAAGATTTGAGTTTTAAAATTGAAGCTTTGAATAATTTATACTTCAGCATTTCAAAATATTATGTCATAAAAACATTGACTCTCAATCTTTTTACATAAATAAATGCTCAAGAAAAAGAAATGACAAGTCCTAGCCTGATACAGAGGAGATTCTCTCTAGAGTAGCAGAGAAAAATAGGAGTTGGAAATGTTGGAAGGAAAACAAATATGATAAATTTGTGGAAAGAGTAATTAGAATGTAGAAATTTTGAAATCATACCCTCTATTGAAGCAAAAACACATAATTTAAAAAAAAAGAGATCAAAGAAGGATGACATTAAATTAAAGATGGAGCCCTGAAATTTTTAAAATTTATATCTGATTTTGACAGCATTATTTATCAATTGCATAATTGATCTTATGATGCTATTACTGATTTTAAAGAACTATTTGCAGAAATTGTCAGAGTTGATCTGTAGCATGAATAAATGATTTCTAAAAATTTAACATCCGAAATTATACTATCACATGGTCAGAAGGTATGGCATCTATTTGATTTTTGCAAAACTTAACCAGACAAGTGATCACAAAATGACTTCAAGAAACATAAATATGACTCACTTCTGACTTATGATTAGTAACAAAAAGTCGTTTTCTTGTTATTACAGCATTATATTTTACATGTTCTACTTCAACTCACTTTTCTCTACTATAAAGTAAGTCCTTCCTTGATGGCTATATCCCTACAAACTACATTAGTACCAGGTTTTATATTGTAACTACTAAAACATAATTAAAGAAGAGATTTGTACTTTTCTAGAAAGTAAGTTTCCATAAATGAATGTGTATGTCCTCTCTTAAATTTTATTCACTATAAATTATTCTTTTTTTGAAGTTGAGAATTTTCTAGAAATTAAGAAGATTGATACAAAAGAGAATGCTGACAACTCCATATTAATGGTATGAAACTGAATAAATATTTCTATGGAACCTAAAAGGTCCACTCCAAATTTTGTGAATGTGCCCTCATTTCATTTCATTTCCCAGTGCCATACATTCATGGCTTTAGTCCAAGCCTGTCTCATCTTTCTCTATATTTATTGCACTAGGCTAGTGGACCTTCGGTCTCTTTCTTTAACAGCCATTTCCTATTCTTAGCGAGAGCCCTCTTCTAAAATTCAAATATGACATTGCACAAAGCATGTGGCTTACTTAAAATCCACCAATAGCCACTATCTAAGGAATAAAATCCAGGCTTCTTGGAAAAGACACATAAAATATCTTCTGACCTCAATGTTAGCTGTACTCATACAGTTGAGTAAAGTTAGATATTTGCTGTCCTTCAAAACACACCTTCATACTTCTATCCTTGTTTGAAAGAGTTGTAATCCAAAAGACTTCTATGTGTTCTGTGAATACTCAGCTACTTATTCTTAGTCACAGAGTCCTAAACACTGTTGAGTATCTAGCTCGGTGTTGGCACCAGAGATCTAGGAGCAAACAGGACACTCCTTGCTTGCTAAAAACGCAAATGCAGGTGAAAACCAAAAATAATCAAACAACATTTAATGTGCCAGCAGTTGAGGAAGGCAAAGGAGCCAGGAAATATATGCAAATAAATGGACACTTTAGTGTTCTTTGCAAAACACAAGATGGGAAAAAGTAAAAGGAAACTATGCAGTTTGGAGGAGTTCTCTTGGGAATGAATCATGGTAAAAAGGAGGGAGAAGCAAAATTATACTCAGCCTTATTGATGATTGTAAGAATTCAGTTTTATTGAGAAGGCAACTGGAGCCATTAAAAGAAGTTTTCCCAGCAAGCAAATGACATTGTCTTTAGGGTAGAAATGTGGAAATGGAAAAATACGTCACCTGGGGGACCAAAGTGACATTTAAAAAAAATTAGAAATCCAGCATATACAGAGAAAATGAGAGCTTTAAAATAACTTACTATGCATATGAACTGTCCCTGGTTGTGAGTAAGATGACTATCTCATTGAGACTTTTTAAAATGTAAGGGAAATAAAGGCAGGTATTTCCTCTCGGTTTCCCACACTACCCTTCCTATTATCATTGTCTTGTTAATTCTTCTGTCTTTCTACGACACACATAACTTTCTTGCCTAACATATGATATGCACGTAATGATTTTACCTAGTTGTTTCTCACGTGCCTCCTCAGTCTAAATAAAAAGTTTAAGCAGACAAGATGTTTTGGGGATTTTTTTTGTTAACATTCACTGCTACAGATCCTAGAGTAATGGGGGTGGCATATAGTAGGGCCAATAAACAGTTATTAAATTCATAAATGAATAAAAAGGAATTAATCATCCTATTGTCAACATGTTCTGTTTGAGATTTCTTTGGAAGACAAGTCAAGTAGACTGCTACTTCTGAAACTCACTATGTATAACATCATCTGGGAATCTTGCCAATATGCAGATTCAGATTTAATAATTCTAAGGTAGTATTCAAAATTCTATATCAGATGCTACTGATGCTACTGGTGCGGTAATCATGAATATTATAGTTTGCTCTTAAATCTGAGACATGGGAATTTAAGTAGACTGAACATACAATACAGGACTCATCATTTGTAGAAGTGATGACTGAAGCCAAGTATATGGATGAAATCTCTCAGACTACAATATGTATCAAAAATAAGTCAAAGGAATTCAAAAGAGCAAGGAGTGAAGGAAGAAAACCCTCAAAGCTACTGAGGTATGAAACTAAAGAATGAAGTAATGTGAGGTTAGACAGGTTCTCCATAGGATAAAGTCCCATTGTAAGAGGGTCGTTAACTACTAAAAGTGTCCTTGCTATGTGATGATAAACTGTAATGGAATGAACTGTGTCCCCCTAAAACTCGCATGTTAAAACTCTAACTCCTAACATGACTTAATTATGATGGCACCTTTAAAAAGCTAATTAAAGTAAATAAGGTCATATAGGTGAGTCATAATCCAAGACAATTGCTATTCTTTCAACAAGAGAAAGAACTACAAGAAAGCCCAGGCATGTAGAAATGGCCATGTAAGAACAGGGAAAGAAGACAGATACCTCCTACCCAGGGAGAGGTCTCTAAGAAATCAAACCTGCTGACATCTTGATTCTGAAACTCACTGTCCAGAACTGTAAGAAAACTCACTTCTGTTGCTTCAGCCTCAAGGTTGGTGGCATTTTGAAATGGCCACACAGCAGATGAATACGATAATTAAAACATTGAAAGTAATGGAGAGTCATTGAGTTCAGGTTTGCAGAACCATGAGCCTTTAAGAGGTTGATCAAATAGACGCAGGGGTCCTCAAATGAAAATTTAAAAAAGTTTCATTTGTGTGCAATATTTATTTGAACATGGAAGAAACTTGAAAATATTTGTGTGTACTGGGGAGCCATAACAAGGGCATTAGCTTGTTCTCAGTTCTCTAATTTCTGGGCACATAGCCCCTGTGAAGTCAGCTTGGGAAATGCAACTTGCTTTGGGTTGTGAGCTACATGCAAAAGTGATACATTTTTCCCAGTTATAAGCTTTAAGAACTGCTATGACCGGAAATACTTCAGATGCAATCGACTGTCACTCTGAGACTTAAAGCACAGGCTGCTGGAGGTGAAATCCCCACTGATGTGACACGGGCACAGGTTGTGGACAGGTACAGAATTTTATTGTTCTCAGTCAAATGGTACACTGGGGTAGTTTTCTCTGTTTCTCTTAATTGCCACAGGGACAGTAAAATAAATAATGAAAACATAATAATAATTGATGGATCACACTTCTGAATAAAAGCAAAAAGAAAGGGTTACTGAAAATAGTTCTGGATACATTTCCTCTCGGATTGAAATAAAGAAAAAAAATTCCATGTGAATGCAATGTCAAACTTGACTTCTGAACATAAAAATTTGAAGAGGGATCCTACTTTCAGAAACTATATCCTGTGGTTGCACTGAAGGACCAGGGTCTATATGTTAGATAGATAAGAAATAATTGAAACATGAGAAATATAGTAAAGCCCTAGTACCATACTGAGGTCAGAAAGACTTAGCTACTGCCACAGAGCCAATTAATGCTGGGCTGTGAAAAATTCATACCTTCTTTCCCAGTTCAATCTTTAGCATTTTAACCCATGAATATCTCAATAAAAATATTATAATCTTTGGTTGAGTCTAAATTTAAGTTGCTGGAACAGTGGTTATCTCCATACAAACAATTATTTTTCCACCATCATGAGACAGTTTCCAATGAAAGTAGGGGCATAATAAATGCAGACAAATAAGAGGCCTTCCCCTGAATTATCCTTCAAGAACTACGTTCTGTATGTTAGCTTTTAATCAGGGCCATGAAACATCTCTAAAATACAGAAATCAATTATAATTATTCTGAGTAACAGATT